TAGTTGTTGTAGTAGTAGTAGTAGTAGTAGTAGTAGTAGTAGTAGTATCTGCAGCAAATAATACGCAGTTTGACCCCCCCCCCCCCCCCCCAAGCAGTGCATCTGTGAGCTGGAGTACATCTCCGAATATCTTCTGCTAGTAACCTGCTTCAAACACGTGCCAACGAGTTGGGCTCGAGTGTACCCGTCCAAACAAAGACAGAGATATTTATTGTTCTGCCTCAATAGAGTGAGTAATCATTTGATTTTGTTGAGCAATTACATCTGGGTTTCAGTATATTAGGTTGTTTAATAGTTCTATCTCTTGGTTTGTATTGCTGGCTGCTCAGAAGACAATTTTCTTTTTATTTTAAGATTTTAAACGTTAACTTTTGTTTTGTTTCCACGCTTCGTGGCCTTTGTGTGATACTTTTTCACTAAGAGCTGATTCTTTTACTATTTCTGTGCTGGTACAAGATGGATGTTCTGCAATATTCGTTGGTGTTAATAATGGTTTAAGTTTAAGTTGTTCGGCTTCGCAACATTTCTTTCTTTTTTTCTTTTTTCTTTTTTCTTTTGTTGGTGTTTGGGGATTCTGGAGTTAAATGCAGGTGATAAAAAAACAAAACTTAACAAATGTTTTTGTTAATATTTTCCTCCTCACTGAAGTTTTGCGTTTCAAATTTGTACACAACATTTGGAAGTCAAAAGGAATGATGATGATATTTATTTTAGACAAATCCACAGAATAGTTTTGCTCTACCTATCGCGTAAAAAACAACAACCCATGTTCAGTTATGTTCCCTTTTTGTGGCTCGACAAACTAGTTTGCCTTAGGCCTACCACTAAAAGCCCCAACGATTGCGTCATATTGCAAGCTGCAGCAGTCTAACATTAAAAACCAACAAAAGTTTGCAGGTAGTTTTTTTCATGTTTCCTTTGCCTGCTGAGATCATGGTTAAGATTAGCAAAGAGCAGAAAGCTTTTTGTAACAGACATTACCTCACCACAAACTCATTTCGTAGGTTTTGCATAAGGTACGAAACAATGTTAAAGTGCCCTTAAGGCTTTCTTTAATGTCAAGGGTGGGGATGTTCCATCAATTAGGACATGCAGAGAATCAGATAAAACGACCACTTTAGGTCAAAAACACTCAATTTGCACCATTTAAACGTCATCAGGGTGCAGAATTCAGTGGGTGTTCATGAGACGTCTATCCGTAGATGCTGTCTACAGCTAGGGCTTCCCTACATCACAACGGTCCCCATTCTCAAGGCAGATCTTAATCTACGACAGTACCATTTTCCTGTTCGCGAAGCTGACATGGATCAAAGGACAGCAACGCGTTTATGATTCCTCGGTCGTCTTGAAAAGCGTGAACATTTTCTCGATGGCGTTTGGGCAAAGCCCATATTATTCACCTTTCAGGATGTGCTTACTCCACAAACGCTGTCTATTGAGCAATCTTGCAACAATTCCATACTGTAAGGTGTACTGTGCGTGTGCGGGGGAGGGGAGGGAGTGTTACAGTATTAAAAAGATGTAGTTGTTATACTTATACTGGTTACACCGCTCTGACACGTGATCGTATAGGTTATGTCAAAGATGACAAGAAAACTTCACGCTGTAATATTTTTGAATATATTTAATCATCAACAACAATGAAATGTATGACGTTTACAAAACATGCTACTACCTTCGATGACCTATAATCTACAGAAGGGTAACTACTATTTCCTGAAACACTGGTTATAACATTTGTCGAACAGACGACTATCTAGCAGTGTACAAGAATATTATCACTACCCTTCGCCTAACCTGGTCTAGCTCCTACCTCTATGTCCTCTCAGTACTCTAGTCTACGCTAGTCTCTCCTAAGCCTGCTCTGCGTTCGAATCTAAAAACTAACTAAAACTAACTCCAAACTTTTCGGATCCTCGGTATATAAGGCCCCAGCGTCGTAAGGATCCCACTTTGATTATTCAGACTTCTATAGGTACCTTCTGGATGATTGTATCCTCTTTCCCCAGTTCCCAAGAACGTATGGGCTTTGAACGCTCCAAATCGTTTTGCACTCTCACGCGTTTACAATTATCGCGTAAGAGACGCTCCTCATGTCGGTCTTCGTGATCTTACAAATCAGGGACTTAACTGATTTTGAGGCAGCAAGGTGTTATAAATACGCCCCACTCTAAGGTTCCCTGTCCCTCAAGATGCCGTCCTGGGTGGTGGCGTCCAGTTGTAATTACGCTCCTCGCGCCGGTAGCGGCGTCCAGTGCACTAGTTTCACCTGGTATTTACGAGCCACGAGCCCTCTTACTTCACTTTGTTACAGGAAGGGGGGGAGGGGCGTTGGGAACTCATGGTTGGGTGGATCTTTGTGTTTGTCCACCACTAAACGTTACGAATGACACGTCAAAACGAAGCGAGTCCAAAGAAGGACATACAGAGCACTAGTTGTCAGAATTTAAGAATTTTTTAAAAAGTATGCTTTTTTAACCTTGAAAGGGAGAATAAATAATTTTTTATTTAAATGTTATGAGGATGGGAAAAAATAAACGTTAAAAACAAAAGAAAGGGAAAAAAGAAACCATTAATTTCATGACTTTCCTTGCAAGATTAATTAAGTTGTGGTAATTTGCAATTATGGATGGTTATAATAAAAAAAAACATTTCCGCTTTCTAAAATAAGTGTCTTCTATGTGAATGACGAGGTCGTGAAGTACACACAGGTGTGGGATTTGGATTTACGGTTTCATCAGGTCACTCTTTAGGGACAGTGTTGAAATAAATGAAATACAGTTTTACAGGCAAGGGGCATGTCTCTCTCCAAGCACTATCAAAATATGGGGGGAAAACTGTTTTCGACAATATGCGAAATTCACTACTTCATCAGGCGACAGATGTTTTTGCTATCTTGAAGCGTATATGACTTAAAGATTGCGCGAGGGTTGCTAGAGAAGACTTAGCCCACATAATTGGGTGGTTTTGTTTGGGGGGGGTCCTCAGAAATCTTATGTTTGGAATTAGCTTAGAAATTATTTAGATTAGAATCTCAAATTCTTGGTCAATGATAGAGTCACAGTTATTGAAATTCGGGACGAGATAAAAACCTTCTTCCTCTCGCTGCATTCGATTCTGTAACCAGTTACACTAGCCGATGACGTGGAAGTCCCTCCCCCCCGGTACAGTCGCAATGGGGTATAAAAACTGCAGCACCTCCATCATTTCCAAATGTCTCATTCTCACCTCTTCGGAAGCCTACTGTGCTGTATCAACATCTGAGAACATTATGTAAGTTGTGTTCATAATTCATGTCCTTATCCTTCCCTGAACCAATGGTAAACGATCAAAACTGAACATTCTTTAAGCAGAGATGCGGCCAAAATTCTAAGATTTTATTGTTGTTTTTATTTCTCACCCTTTTAGCAATAAAATCAGCATATTATTATCGTTGAGTTATATGAAACTACATGTACTTGCTCAAGTATTATGGTAAGCTGTTGTGGAATAGTTTTGATCAAAGTCAGTACTATGCATGCCCCCTTTGACATAGATGAACGCTTGAATAGAACACAGCGTGCTAGAGGTCTGTTTTACATATTATTTTCTATTCAAAGTCACATAGGTTTATCTCAATGAACTTTTCCAACTGATGTAGCCAACGGCCTACCGTAGTGACCACGTCTGCTTCGGTTAGAGTCCTTGGAACAGCGTATGCTTCGGACACTATTTCTTCCTTGTCTTGAAATCGCTTCTCCCTTTTTTAGTCCTTTGATTTTGGGGGAAAAGATGATATTGCAAGGAATAAAGGGACATTTTAAAAAATCGTAACAGGTGATGAAACATAAGTGTGTACATGGGATCCAGAAGTGAGAAAACAATCATCAGAATTGAGAAACACAAGTTCACGACTCCAGAAAACTTGACGCAAGCAAGGTGCTTTGAAATCGATGCATATCATGTTTTTCAATGACAAAAGTGTCGTTTTAGAGATATGTATCAATATTTTGTACTTGGGAGCAATGTGGACTTGTCAGTCAAACAATTAGTTCACGAATGTTTATAAATCAACATACAGAAGCACTGTTAACTTTTCAACTGTGCAATTAATTTACGAATATTTCTATCCCGATATATAACAGCAATGTGGACTTTTGAGTTTAACAATAATATACCATTAAAGCCTCTTTAGTTGTCTTGCTTTTAACGAAAAAACAAATATCCATCCCCCATGAACAGAGATATTTTCAATTGAAAGAAGCGGGGGTCGCCTGCTGTCAAAGGTAGAATTAGGTAGAAAATGACGGCTAAAGTTTGTTGACTTCTAAAGCTGAAGTGTCCTTGGGTTGCATTGTTTTCTGTGCCTTTGATCAATGTTTTTAAGGAGTGAGTAGTTAAATGGACATACGGTGTTGAGCCCAAAATTTAAAAATGAATAAAAATTGCTCAACCGACAGAAAAAAAAAGATTTCTACTATTCTACTTATATCATTTTGACGAGCGCCTGATTTCATTACGATGTAACACAATTAATTTGCGTTTGCTCATATGCATTATATAATGTTTATATTTAGAAGCAATGTGGACTTCACAAGAGAGGTGGCTTTTGGTGGCGTGGGTCCTGATCTTTGCATGGGCGCCCTCACTGTTTGCGGAAGTTTTGTGTCCGTATGAGGTAAGACCTCGGCTGGTCTACAACATTGTTGTGTGTGTCCTGTTCTTCTCTGTCTTAGAGCAAGGGTCACCAGACTACGGCTATATCCGGCCCGCCCGCGAGGTCAGTTCGTCTGGCCCACTGCTATGTCACATTCCGGGGAGGGGGGGGGGTGGCACTTTTTACCTCCTCCTAACTCTACCAATAATCACTTGTTATAGGAAATGTATGGTTATATTTCATATATATATATATATATATACCTTAAGAGGTCTGAACTCTACAATTCTAAGTCCAAGAAGCATGATTTCATTTTACATGAGGCATGACAATTTTTACTCGCATGTCTAATCCCCAGCTGTGCTCCTGTGACGGATGGTCGATTTACTGCGACTACAAAGGCTTTGATAAGATGCCGCCCTTGAAACCAGCATCAGGCTACACTCAACGGGATCTTTATGTTGAGGTTTGTAGATCAGAGTAAAAGACAGTTACGTCAGGGTCGCAAGCAATCCACTTAAAGTCCGTTTGTGTACCTTTTACTCCAGAGACAGAAAAGTAGATTTTGTTGAGTTGTTCCTATCAGAAATCATGAAATCCAAAAAATTGCTAGCTTTGACCATATCATTAAACTGCGTTTTGGTGATGTTGAAAGGTGCATCTTTCGTAGAGCTTTGGGAGGGTGTAGGATTTTTTTTTTAAATATCAAAATCTAGACATAAGCGGATGGAATGCCAGGGCGACAATAACACGTATATTATTATATATATGGGCTGGGAACACTTTGAACATTCGATTCACTAATACTAACAAAAGTCTAGCCACACTCTGCTTTATAGGGTCTAGGTCAGAACTCATTTTTCTACTCGAAGGCTGGACCCTAAAAAAGGAGAAAAAACCCAAACAAACCAACAGCTATTCTGGTCCTTCCTTGTCCCCCATCTATCCAATTAATGCTCCGAGTATCGTTAGTTGCTCTTCTTATCTTAGCACTGTTGTCATCTCTCAGTTTTTTTAGGGCGTAAATAATATCCCTGAACCCCAACAACATTTCAAACACATGCGCGAATTCCTTATCGAAGTGACTATTCCCAGTGACACTGGGGATAGGTACAGAAACTATTCCCAGTGACAACGTAACTCTTTTGCATTAAAAAAAATCAGAAGTCTTTGCACTGCACTGTAGACTCTCTTCTCACTTCAGTTCGGTACATTATACATGTACATTATGTACTTTTGTTCTCTTCTCTAGGACCATATAGAGTTACCTCCTTTTAGTGCCTATAGTATACATCTATCCTGAGGGCTTAGGCTTGACCGTAAAATAGATCTTGAGCTAGATCTAGATCTAGAAAAAAGAAGAATCGGGAAGGATTTCTACCTGTCCTGTACCGTGGTCTCCAAAACCCGTATACATGTAGATCTAGATCTATACACGTACATGAATCACGACTGAATAACAAGCAAGCATAGACTGATAATTCCCTTTTCTTAAAAAAAAGAAATGTTCCACTCACACTAGAATCTACTTTATTTTAGTTAGATCTAGATCTAGAATCTAGTATCTAGCTGGAATCTAGATCTAGGTCTAGATCTGCATTAGATATAGTCTAGTATTTTGTAACCCATCACCATCATGCCCATGTAGATCAGTGCGGAAACAATAGATCTAATGGTCCTGTCTGTTCTCAGTGTCACTGGGAATAGTTTCTTGGCCTATTCCCAGTGACAGTGGAAACAATTCTGCCCTAGGCCGAGGTCTAGGCCCAATTGCCAGTGGTTTCTGGGCCTGTCACTGAGAATAGTTTCTAGGCCTATCCCCAGTGTCACAGGGAATAGTGCTTTCCATTCCTTCTTGCACTGAGTTAAGACATAAGAACTGAGATAATGAAAACGTGGGCACTTGAAAGTGCTCTATAATACATTTCCCTCTAATTATATTTTACATAACTGGCCACCAACAGCTCTAATAAATGATATCCACTTACTATCAACTGATTTGCTGTGAATTGGTGAGAACTGATAAGTGACCCCCCCCCCCCCCCCCCCCGCAAAAAAGTACACTAGCGATCAACTTAATATATTTTGGGTAACTGGTGACTGATAAAATCAATAAATGACGGATAACTCTATTTGGCAGTAAACAGGCTATCACTTGATTGCATTGTGTCTAACTGGTAACCGATAACTGTAATAAGCAGAAAACTAGTAATTAATTATTAAATAAATATATTTATACAGTAATGATAACACTAATAAACCGTATACTGTATTATTTATTTGTAGTTACCAATCTGTTATACTAATATAGAAACCAAGTTGGTGGTTGGCAGGTGCTGTGGTGTGGTTTGCTCCTTCTTTCCTATCGTCCTGTTCTCTCCTCCTTCTTTTTTATGTTTGTTACTCTCTTGTAACACCTCTAATCTTCGGTACTTATTTGACCTTATTGTGTTGCAAGTGCCGTAAAACTCTTATTAAAACTAATAGAAACGAAAACCTTCAGTAAGTAGTATACAATTTACCATCTGATTATATGTACCGGTAGCCTATAATATAATTACCGATAAGTCCAATTAATGACATATCAACCATCATTTTTTTAAAATGATTGTTTGTATGGTTCTGTCTTTTTAGGGTAACAGCATAACAGTTATCAATGACTGGGAATTGGCCCACAATTTACAAGATATAACTTTCGGAGAAAATTCCCTGACCACAGTCGCAGATCATGCCTTCATTTATTCTGCCAAGAGTCTTCAGAGACTCACATTCTGGTCTACTAATCTGACCTCCCTACCGTGGGCCTTGATGGACCTCAGTTCTCTCCAGTACTTGCGTTTGGACAATAGTCCAGTTCTCACATGGAACACAACCATTTTGGCGAGCATTGGAGCATCGTTGAAAACCCTACATCTGTCAGTATTGACGATGCCAATCTTTCCACCAGACTGGCTCAAGTTACTGCCAAAGTTGGAGACCCTTGAGATATACGGGGTTGCTTTTGGTCAGCTGAGTAGTAAGCCACTGGACCCATCGGCAGCCAGTCACGTTAGAAGACTTGTGTTCACAGACTCCAACCTAACGAAAATCCCACTGGAAGTGGTGGGGCTTTTCCCGGATTTGACCAGCCTCAATTTGAAGTCAAATTCAATAAGCGATCTCAACAACCTGAAAGATTTTAAAATCCCTCTTAATTTGCCACACTTATTCCTGGACGACAATCACATCGACAATATCGGCCCTCTGTTTTATTTAACTGGTATTGAGAGTCTAGGGATATCGGGTAACAGAATCTGTGACCACGAGCATATACCTTACGCCTTAATACCCCACGAAAACTCTTTGAGATACCTAAATCTCAACTCCAACTGCCTTACTCAAATACCTGACCTGTTATTTATGTCCGAATTATCACATTTAAAACTGAACTACAACAATATTTCAACCCCATCTTTGGGTTTGCTCCCTATGTCAATGACAAACCTTGAACTAAACGGAAACGTAATGTCAACTATTCCAGAATCTATATCAAGATTACCGAATTTGTACACTCTATATCTGATGTATAATAAAATAAAATCTATGGCAGACTTTGAGTTTCCGTCCTCGCGGGCGAAACTATACATCTCAAACAACGACATAGAAATAATTCCCTCACTGCAATTTTCAAACAATATTTCTAAATTGACGCACATTGATTTATCAGTAAACCCAATCAAAAAAATTGCAGACGACGCCTTCAGCAACCTCCATGAGTTGAGCTATTTATTCTTAAAACACACACACCTAGTTCGTTTACCCTCGGCTCTGTTGGCTCTAAACAAACTAAACTATCTATCCCTGCCCTACACTCTCACGTGTTCCTGCGATGACATGGCGTTCACGACATGGTACCAGAATGTAACACAAATATCCGGAGAGTGTAACGGCACTGATCTCAGTCTTATGTTACAACAGCTCCCAAACCAATGCCCCGTGACTTAAATTGTCACCAGCTCTGTTTGTCACTTAAACTGTCTGTTTTTCTGTCTGTTTTTCTGTCTGTCTCCCCCCCCCTCCCACCTCTCTCTCTCTCTCTCTCTCTCTCTCTCTCTCTCTCTCTCTCTCTCTCTCTCTCTCTCCCTCTCCCTCTCTCTCTCTCTCTCTCTCTCTCTCTCTCTCTCTCTCTCTCTCTCTTAGGCCAGCTTAATAGAAATACAGCGCCTCTTACGCCACGGAATTCGGTCAATCTCTTTATTGAATATTTTTTTGTTTATTTCTTTTCGTTTTGTTTTTCTTTTTAGGTTCTGGGGGGGCATTGAGGCGGGGTTGGGGGGGGGGGGGAATTTACGGAGAGGGGGGTGGGGGTTAAAGGAGCAGAGTGGATGGGTGGATGCCGTTACATAGAACTTTCAATCTTGTAGCCGGGATTATAACTTATAAGATACAGTGTTGACACCCACCTCTTGGCGCTCATATGACCTTATGCAGTTGCGAGCGCCGTAAAACCCTCTACTATAAGATACATTTATGAGCCACTGTATCTCAAGCTTTTTCTGTCTTGTGTGTAGATTCGTAATTTTGATATATTCATAATATGACTGTGGGATCAGGCGCTCGTCAAAATAATTAAATCGAAGATATCGGAATTTTTCCGCGAGTTTGACAAATTCTTTCGATTTTTTTTTTGTTTTTGGCTCAAATCAAATGGAACACATTTTTGTAGGATTTATATTGAAAAACGTTGTACAAAAAAATGTAATTTTCCGTTTCCAAGGACTCTCAAGCTATGGAAATCACCTTATTTCTGCAGCAATTTCTCAACTTTACCTCCCTAACCAGACGATCCCACCTCGTTCAATCGTAGTTATCTCGATTTCTATTCTTAATAGATTGGGATTTTGATATCGAAAGAACGACAAACGAACACGTTTTAACTTTTAAGATGCTTACAATGACTCCATATACCCCAACGTTGACGAGTGCCTGATTCCACGGCGTTGTGACACATACCATAAATAACTTATTTCTTCAGTATGTAGATCTGATTCTAAGGCCGTACTTGGTACATAAAAAAACCCAGCATGAAAACTTACAAACAGGAGGTTCTATTTAAAAGATTTTTAAAAAGAAAAAAAGGACAAGGAAACGCTTTAAAAAAAACAACTTTTGTTTGTGTTTCATTAATTGGTTGTGGTTTTGGTTTCGGGTTGTTTTTTCGTTGGTGTTTTTGTGGTTTTGTTTGTTTAATTTTTCTTTTGTTTTTAAATTTGTTAGATCTATCGTTCTTCATGGGGAATGGCTATTATATATATATATATATATACATTTATGTCTTTTACCCATGTAAGTCCTTAAAGTGATTTATTTTTTGCGAAATAAATA